CTGCCGTGTACATGTAGTCGTGTACGGAACATTATTACAGAACTGGATTAGTATAGGCAGCCAAATGATCAAAGTAGCCAGTCAAATTGGCCGACAACCGGCTCTTATGGAAAACCCTGCCAACACAAGTCACTTACTTCCTTCATTTCTAATTGTTCATCTAAATGTATGGACAGATTATGGTTAAGATTAACACATTGTAACACTAGAATGCCAATAGAGTCACATAACTAATATAGTGGAACCCACTTAATAACATGTCTGTTAATGTCATTTTCCTGTTATTATCACGTTTTCTTAAAACACCAATTTTTCCCCTACATATTCTATATAATCAAACATCTGATTATATCACTTATTTTCATGTGGGCAATGCTTAACATCACTTCATTTTGACAACTATCACAAAAAAAACACAGGTACTTGAGGACAGGAACTACGGATTTACTCCTAAAGGATCATATGTCATGCCTGTCAGTTCCAGTCCATGACCATATGCACAAAGAAAATGTACCTGGTATTTGTATTGTTTATAATGTTGCATCTGATCTAGAAATGATTTAATATTGTTTGTGACACACTTTTCTACAACATTTTTGGCTTTCATGTTTCTTTTGTGTCCTTTTTTCCTAAGATACATTAGTAGTACACCTCCAACTGCCTTGTACATAAAGAGCTTGGACTGAAGAGTTGGTAGCTCCATCAGTGTGATACGTCCCATTTTCTCAAAAGTCACTAGTGATGAATGCAGCTGCCAGCTCATCTATTATGGTGTCAAGACTCCCAACTGTATTCAAGGACAAAACTGGCTTCTTACAATTTTGAGAGCATTTTTTAAGAATTCCTTTTTTTCGAAGCAGTGTGTTGATGTGCTAGATGGCACTATAAAATTTTAGGAGGTTGGTGATCCATTTCAGATAATCCACGTCAGTCAGAGATACAGACTTGTTTTACCTGTTTGTCGACGTGACTCTTTAAGGTGTATACATTGTAGCTTTTATGTTTCATTAATACATGTTTTATGTTTATAATGTAATGTTAGTGTTAAATTTCATTCCCCGATCACTTGCCCACTTCTCCAGGCTGTGTATATTATCTTGTAGAAGCTGGTGGTGACTGCATTTCATCCATAGAGACGTATCTCTTAGTATTTATATATATTAACCAGACATTCATCCAAAGGCATTTAGCTCGCTTATAAAAATAAGTATATACGGTATTCTATGTATATAAGCACACAAGTACCTGTGGTTCATCTATTCCCCTAAAACGTATAATAATCATCTAAACTGACCTTATTATGATTATATTCGTAAATGGTGGATCGCTAAAAAAAATTTATGTTCATGTGATTCAACGTACTTGTTTCAATCCACATTATGACATTATAACGACAGGTGACTGTCAAGTCACAAGACCAACCCGTTAAAAATATAAGACAGCATTATCCTATGAACTGCTAGTTATCATTTAAAAACCTATAAGAACACACAGTCAGTTATAACAAATTTATAATAAGCTAGATAGCATGCATAAAACTATTTACCTCCAACTCCGTCATCTTTCCCGCGTATAAATTTTCTGCGTGAAATGTTTCGTGCCTCCTGGTGTGAAGAGTTCCACACCGACAAGTTATCTCCCTTAAACCTCGCCATGTCCGAATAATAACTTTAAAAGTTGTATGAATAAAAAACGAAAAAGTAAACTCTAATTATTTCTTTTCTCTCAAAAAATATGAAAATTCGATTCTCATCATGGAAAATGAACTGATTAATGAGTGACTATTTTTCTCCACATTTATTATTATCTTTTTTTTTCACTCTGTTCTACAGGAAAATGTTTGCACGGTTTTCTAGCCAGAAAGAAGTTTGCAGATTTAACTTATATTTGACCAGAGACGTATATAACACATATATATATGATATATACGTCTCTAATTTTACAAATGTTGCCATTGATATTGGTATGAAATTGACCCTTCTATTCTCTTTATCGTTTCTATTATTTAAATTCAGCTGAGTAAATGAGCAGTTAATGATATCCTCTTTTACTATTTAAGGTGTAAATTACAACTTATTAATGCCTAGTGTTAAGTCAAATGTTGTATCTAGTTGGAAGCTGGCAATCCAATGAACCATGAAGATTACATTTTTTGTAGAATCTTTTTTTACAATTTTATGTTAGAAAGAAGGTCCAAGATAATAGGTCATTCCAATTTTTGAGGAAATATATCCACTTTACGAAATTTAAGTAAATTATTGTCCAGTTAGAAGTCTTCCAAATGTGTCTAAGGTTTTTGAAAGAATATATTTCATGATCGAATAGGTTTCATATTTAGAATGTCATTTTAACCCTTCCTTGACAGCTTTGGAAGCAAGTCAACTCTGCTGTGATTTCCTAATGACTAAGGTTTTTGACAACCTTCCTCTGACTTCGAGGTCTGTTGCTGAGGAAGCTGCAAGCCTATGGTTGGATGATGTTCTGGTGAAAATGGGTTCAAGTTTAGAATGCCATTTTAAACCTTCCCTGACAGTTTTGAGTCATATTCATATTTCCCTCTGACGTTGAAATTAACAGATAAAACAGCTAGATAAAACACAAAGTAATTGTTTACACTGTTTATTACACTATCCTTTCAAATACCAATCTCCTTTCTTCCATAGAAACATGTGGGGAAAAAATTGAAATAATTGATGATGACCCCATTAAAAAAAAATAAAAAAGTGATTTTTGTTAAATAAGGTAACCTTCAGAACTGTATATAGTAAAATTGACAGGTCGGTTCAGTAATCCTTAAGATTGATTTTCATCACCATCAGAGGAAGAGCCATCTGATGATGGCAGGCTAAAAAGGCACAACAAGGGAAAAAGTGGAACCTACTTAGAAAATTTGAGGATTCACTCTGGAATTCTCAAGAAATAGTACATGTAATAACAAGAATTGTTTGCATGCGGTTGACAGAACAGGAGTATAGGGTGATTTGACTGGCTCACCATCTGATCATGGTGGGCTAAAATTGTCTTTAGTATTAGTTTTTTAACTAAATGTAACAAGGCAAAACAAGGTTTAAATACATTTTATCTATATATATACCTTATCTCATTACAATGATAAGCACAAGCACCAATATTTCCATTCCTCACCATGTATTCTAACAGTAAAATGTCTGTTTTACATGTAACAGTCTTTCAGAATCATTCTAACAGTAAAATGTCTGTTTTACATGTAACAGTCTTTCAAAATAACAATGGCAGTTTGTAAGTTATTCTTCAAATGAAAGCACCTATGGCATGACTCTGTCTGAAAGGACACAAGTAATGTATCCAGTATCAGTATATATATATCAAGGCAGAATTGACAATCTCATACACAGCACCAAATGTCTGTTTTACATGGTCAACATCCCTGTAGGATCTGGTACCCAAGGTATCATTTTAAACCTTCCCTGACAGTTTTGAGTCGTATTCATATTTCCCTCTGATGTTGAAATTATCAGATAAAACAGCTAGATAAAACACAACGTAATTGTTTATCTTCCCCAAGTTTACACTGTTTCTTACACTATCCTTTCAAATACCAATCTCCTTTCTTCCATAGAAACATGTGTAAAATGTCTGTTTTTTGTTAAATAAGGTACATGTATATAGTAAAATTGACAGTCTTAATCCTTATGATTGATTTTCATCACCATCATCTGATGATGGCAGGCTAAAAAGGCACAACAAGGGAAAAAGTGGAACCTACAAATGAAATTTGAGAAGGATTCATTCTGGAATTCTTAAGAAATAGTACATGTAATAACAAGAATTGTTTGCATGCGGTTAATCATTCTAACATCATGTAAAATGTCTGTTTTTTTTTAACAAATGTAACAAGTTTAAATACATTTTATCTATATATATACCTTATCTCATTACAATGATAAGCACTAGCTCCATTATTTCCATTCCTCACCATGTATTCTAACAGTAAAATGTCTGTTTTACATGTAACAGTCTTTCAGAATCATTCTAACAGTAAAATGTCTGTTTTACATGTAACAGTCTTTCAGAATCATTCTAACAGTAAAATGTCTGTTTTACATGTAACAGTCTTTCAGAATCATTCTAACAGTAAAATGTCTGTTTAACATGTAAGTTTTTCAAAATAACAATGGCAGTTTGTAAGTTATTCTTCAAATGAAAGCACCTATGGCATGACTGAAAGGACACAAGTAATGTATCCAGTATCAGTATATATATATCAAGGCAGAATTGACAATCTCGTACACATAGCACCACAAGCTGGGATCAATTCTGTGAAATATTTTACAGGACGGTCCACATCCATGTAAGATGTTTCATCCATGTTTATACACCTTTAAATAAAAATGTTTAATCAAGCATTCCACAATGTCCAGCAGTAAACGTGGTCTGTATCACCAGGAAATCCACATGATATATAAATAATTTAGGAAAACATTTCCAAGCAATTGACCACAGCTTGTTTTGATTAACAGCTTCTTCAGAAGTCCATTTATAAAGTTGTTATACTGGGTCTGTGGTATTAACCAACATCAATTATCTCAACATGCTCCTATACTTCTGTAGGTATACAAACAGTTTTCCTTAAAACATTTAGTGTTTTTCTGCACCATTCAGGTTCTGAAATCTTCTGATAACAAAACATGCATTAACCAATCAAAGGTTATCAGGACTCCAGATTGTTTTGATAAACACCATCATTGTCTATTGATAAACACCACCATTGTCTATTGATCAACACCACCATCGTCTATTGATCAACACCACCATCGTCTATTGATCAACACCACCATCGTCTATTGATAAACACCACCATCGTCTATTGATAAACACCACCATCGTCTATTGATAAACACCACCATCGTCTATTGATCAACACCACCATCGTCTATTGATAAACACCACCATCGTCTATTGATCAACACCACCATCGTCTATTGATAACAACACCTATTGATAAACACACCATCGTCTATTGATCAACACCACCATCGTCTATTGATCAACACCACCATCGTCTACTGATCAACACCACCATCGTCTATTGATCAACACCACCATCGTCTATTGATCAACACCACCATCGTCTATTGATAAACACCACCATGGTCTATTGATAAACACCACCATGGTCTATTGATAAACACCACCATGGTCTATTGATAAACACCACCATCGTCTATTGATCAACACCACCATCGTCTATTGATCAACACCACCATCGTCTATTGATAAACACCACCATCGTCTATTGATCAACACCACCATCGTCTATTGATCAACACCACCATCGTCTATTGATCAACACCACCATGGTCTATTGATAAACACCACCATCGTCTATTGATCAACACCACCATCGTCTATTGATAAACACATTCCATTTCTACAGATCAACACCACCATCGTCTATTGATCAACACCACCATCGTCTATTGATAAACACCACCATCGTCTATTGATCAACACCACCATCGTCTATTGATAAACACCACCATCGTCTACTGATAAACACCATCATTGTCTATTGATCAACACCACCATTGTCTATTGATAAACACCACCATCGTCTATTGATCAACACCACCATCGTCTATTGATAAACACCACCATCGTCTATTGATAAACACCACCATCGTCTATTGATCAACACCACCATTGTCTATTGATAAACACATTCCATTTCTACAGATCAACACATCTGATTTTTGTTTATCTGTTCCTTCTAGTTTCCTCATATTCCTCTTCTTTTTTACGATCCTCTTCAGTGGTGCCTAGAAGACCATTCCATGTTGCATTTTCCAATCTAAGCGTTCCAGGGCTGTACACTCCACCGTCTAATTTTGTACCGTTACTCTGGAAGGTAACGGAAAATTCTATAACAACAATTTTGAGTTATCCTCCTTGGCAGTTGTACATAGATGATATATAATACATTATAATTATGGAGCTCTACTCTTGCTTCTGTTGTTAAAAAGAAAAGAATGAAGTTTTCATTTACCCAATATTAAAGAGAGAGCTGATGAAATATTAAAATGATGAGGAAACAAAACTGTCTTATCCCTCACCAATTTGATTTCCTTTTTCTGTAATGTCAAAGCATATGGTTTGAACTCGGTTCCAGTTTTCATGCATGTGAATGCGACACTTTTATCTTTCAGTTCTGAGCTAAGCACTGGATACTCAAACATACACTGAAACAATAGATAACCATATCAAACATGTATTTACAGCACTATAAATTTTTTTACATTTTGTATAAAAGTATATTTTTTTCAATCAAATGAAAAGTAAAAATATCACAACAAATATTATATCATTGATATCAATGAGCAATCCAAAATAAACAATCAAAACTCTTGAATTCTTCAAAATGTGAGAAATACCATGTTACGTACCCCATTTTTCTGGATCAGCTTGGTCAGGGTGGGTGACATGATGAGAGCGTTTTTAGCTCTGGTAACAGCTACATAAAGCAGATTACTCTCATCTTCACTCAGCACACCTACAAGTATCCATTCATTTATATACTGATCACTAGTAACATTTCTGATAGAACCATTCAACAGTACAACTCCTGAACCTATCACCTTCTGTTAGAACCATTCAACAGTACAACTCCTGAACCTATCACCTTCTGTTAGAACCATTCAACAGTACAACTCCTGAACCTATCACCTTCTGTTAGAACCATTCAACAGTACAACTCCTGAACCTATCACCTTCTGTTTGAACCATTCAACAGTACAACTCCTGAACCTATCACCTTCTGTTAGAACCATTCAACAGTACAACTCCTGAACCTGTCACCTTCCGTTAGAACCATTCAACAGTACAACTCCTGAACCTGTCACCTTCCGTTAGAACCATTAGACAGTACAACTCCTGAACCTATCACCTTCTGTTAGAACCATTCAACAGTACAACTCCTGAACCTGTCACCTTCTGTTAGAACCATTCAACAGTACAACTCCTGAACCTATCACCTTCTGTTAGAACCATTCAACAGTACAACTCCTGAACCTGTCGCCTTCTGTTAGAACCATTCAACAGTACAACTCCTGAACCTGTCACCTTCCGTTAGAACCATTCAACAGTACAACTCCTGAACCTATCACCTTCTGTTAGAACCATTCCACAGTACAACTCCTGAACCTATCACCTTCTGTTAGAACCATTCCACAGTACAACTCCTGAACCTACCACCTTCTGTTAGAACCAATCAACAGTACAACTCCAGAACCTATCACCTTCTGTTAGAACCATTCAACAGTACAACTTCTGAACCTGTCACCTTCTGTTAGAACCATTCAACAGTACAACTCCTGAACCTATCACCTTCTGTTAGAACCATTAGACAGTACAACTCCTGAACCTATCACCTTCTGTTAGAACCATTAGACAGTACAACTCCTGAACCTATCACCTTCTGTTAGAACCATTCAACAGTACAACTCCTGAACCTATCACCTTCTGTTAGAACCATTAGACAGTACAACTCCTGAACCTATCACCTTCTGTTAGAACCATTCGACAGTACAACTCCTGAACCTGTCACCTACACTTCCCTAAAACATAGATGTAGACAGTGTCCATTGATGAAGGAGTCAATCAGGGTCAATTAAATTGTTATCCCTCAGAAACAATGGAACTTGATCTGTAGCTTATATGAGACACTATTTGAAGAATTATTTCTCATAACTTTCATGTTCATCCCCAACATCTTACCCATTCTTTACAGTGTATATGTTGTAGGCAAAATAATGGAACTTGGGGGCACTTGGTTACAAAAGAAAATAGATTTGAAAACATTTTACCTTAGGGAACCTGAAAGTGAGTCTGTTCAGACATTTGAACGAACTTGGTAGTTTTTCATCCAAACATCTCACAGGCCTCATAGCAAAGAGCCACTTAAATATCTCAAGACATTTGAATCTAGTGACCTTGAAATTGGACCTAGCTCATTCATTTGGACAAATGTGGTAGTCATTCATCCCAGAATGCAATATTAGATCCTTGGGGCTCTTGGTTGTTTCTTTAACATTTGAACATATCTGACCCCAGCATAGTGAATGATATTGGGAAGGTACACTTACGAGGTAAAGGTGTGTTAATGAAGTCAAATTGCTCCTGCATCTGTATAGAGGAAACATAGTCGTCTGTCAGATGTACTGTACTGAATTCCAAACCCTTCGATTTATGTGCTGTACTCAGAACAACATCTGTATAAATATAATGTCCTTTTTTAATGTTCATAAATATAATAAATATATCACATAAATATATAGTGAAACAGACAAAGCAGATAAAACACTGACTTTTAAGACTGAATTTAAACTATTGTAAATCAATTAGATATCATGAATATTTTCTTTCACAACTTACATGTCCAGACATATTCGCTGATACATTATTTCATGAACGCTGATCTAGAAATGACTTTAAATTAGCAAATGATGAGCTATTTGACATGGATTCTGCAGAACGGATGCCATCCAGCATTATCATTGTGCAATTAATTGCGAGGGATATGAATTCGCGATTGACTCTCATGTATCAATGTGAAAAGAAAATGCACATAAAAATAAGTGATTTACAGTATATTTCATATTTTGCTAGGACAGAAGGTCTAAACATAACTGAACTTTTCTTACATTGACTAAAAAGGTGCCTCATGTACTACAAAAACTATTGACCACACAAATTTTACCCCTTACGACAGGGACTCTCTGGTCTGCCGGGAACTATACCTGTATATATGTTACAGTTTCAACATAAAGAAAGGCTTCTGAAGGGCTCAAAACATGGCCCCAGAGATGTCTTCCTTTGACTGATCAGTAGGTCGTAGAATTATTAGGAGAGCAACCACTAAAATAAGAAAACTGAGACAGAAATTGAATGGCTGTACCTGCTATTCTGGTGTCATGGATGGTCTTTCTGAGGATTTTATATAAAACCTGACATATTGTAAACAAGCAGTGTAGATCTCTTTATATAAAATATGTCCTATCATGTTAGAAGCAGTGTAGTCTCATTATAAAACCTGTATGTTTTAAGCAGTGTAGATCATATAAAACCTGACATATGTAAACAAGCAGTGTAGATCTCTTAAATATAAAACCTGACATATGTATTTTCAAGCAGTGTAGATCTCTTCATTATAAAACCTGACATATGTAAACAAGCAGTGTAGATCTCTTAAGTATAAACCCTGACATATGTAAACAAGCAGTGTAGATCTCTTAAGTATAAAACCTGACATATCATGTTAGCAAGCAGTGTAGATCTCTTAAGTATAAAACCTGACATATGTAAACAAGCAGTGTAGATCTCTTAAGTATAAAACCTATATGTAAACAAGCAGTGTACATATATAAAACCTGACATATAAACAAGCAGTGTAGATCTCTTAAGTATAAACCCTGACATATAAACAAGCAGTAAACAAGCAGTGTAGTAATCTCTTAAGTATAAACCCTGACATATGTAAACAAGCAGTGTAGATCTCTAAGTATTAACCCTGACATATGTAAACAAGCAGTGTAGATCTCTTAAGTATAAAACCTGACATATGTAAACAAGCAGTGTAGATCTCTTAAGTATAAAACCTGACATATCATGTTAGCAAGCAGTGTAGATCTCTTAAGTATAAAACCTGACATATGTAAACAAGCAGTGTAGATCTCTTAAGTATAAAACCTGACATATGTAAACAAGCAGTGTAGATCTCTTAAGTATAAAACCTGACATATGTAAACAAGCAGTGTAGATCTCTTAAGTATAAACCCTGACATATGTAAACAAGCAGTGTAGATCTCTTAAGTATAAACCCTGACATATGTAAACAAGCAGTGTAGATCTCTTAAGTATAAACCCTGACATATGTAAACAAGCAGTGTAGATCTCTTAAGTATAAAACCTGACATATGTAAACAAGCAGTGTAGATCTCTTAAGTATAAACCCTGACATATGTAAACAAGCAGTGTAGATCTCTTCATTATAAAACCTGACATATGTAAACAAGCAGTGTAGATCTCTTATGTATAAAACCTGACATATGTAAACAAGCAGTGTAGATCTCTTAAGTATAAACCCTGACATATGTAAACAAGCAGTGTAGATCTCTTAAGTATAAACCCTGACATATGTTAGCAAGCAGTGTAGATCTCTTAAGTATAAACCCTGACATATCATGAATGAAGAACTTTAGAACATGCTTTCATCATCTACAGTAATATCATATATTTTCCTGGGGCACATTTTTTTGCATTTATTTTTAAAAAGCCACTTTTTCATGGACATTTTATTTTATGGGTAAATATTGCCCACTTTATCTACTTATACTTACTTTAAGAGATCATGGACCCACAAAGTCAATAAAGATAAATCACCAAAAAAAAAATTAGCAAAAGAAAAAAAGTGTAGATGAATATAATGACCTTGGTAAAAAATTTTACAATTTTTATATCGTCTGAAAATAGAATTTTTGAAAGAGAGAATTTATTTTTTGAGAAGTCAAAGAAAATACGTAATAACCTGACTAGATAGCAATTAATTTGAATGAGAGAAATTATTCCCCCTTCACCAATGTGTCCATACTTACCTTTAATCCTTTGTTCAGTTGGTAACATAAGATAGTAGATGTCCATTATCATCCCAAAACCAAACCCATCTGTACCCTGAATTATAAAGCAGTTGGAAAGGATGAAACGTTTGATAAAGAACGTTTGTGGTATTTTTTACATCCAAAGATAGATCAATGATTCAAATATTCGCTGTCTTACCAAAAGCTGGAACTAAAAAGAATATCATGAAACAGACAATGACTTTCTCTACCAATTTTATAATGAAGGTATCTAATTTTCACAAATTTTAAAAATCCTCCAATATTGCGAAATATATAAAACAAAAAAACAAAAAGAAGGCCATGGCACTTAAAGGTAATCTGACAATTGATGAAAGGATGGACAAACCATGGAATTTTCATATGGTGTTCTGACAAATCTGATGCATTCAAATTTTGAACATTCCTCAAAAGTATCAGAAACTCATTAATAGTAAGTTCTGTGCATGAAAAAAAGTTGCACAATTATGTTGCAAAATGACTACTGTGATTTTGATCAGGCTGAAAAATAACCACACATCATTTATCTTTTTCTTTTCCTTAACAAATCAAACTCCAAATATTTTCTGTCAGTGGTGTCCACAAAACTTGAGAAGTAATTCAGACTATTTGTTCAAGATGAAATATGTTGGATTTTGGACCAAACCTAACAAGATTTGGCCAAGACAATCTCAGGATCACTTCTAAACGTTTGATATCATTGCCAATCCCTAATAATGTTTCAGGCCAAATTTGGTTGTAATCTAACCAGGCATTAAACAGAAGTATGGATTTAAAGGAAAAGTTTACTGACAGCGGAGAGCACACAATTACCGATGATGCACAATAGCAATAGTTTATCTCGACCCTTCAGATCAGATCACTAAAAAATACAGTTTAAATATGAATACTGGTACTGATACCAGATTTCAAACATGAAGAAGAATACTCACCCCTACAAAAGCCACCTTATCATCTGTGTTCTCATGACAACACCTCTTCACAGCCTCATTAAACAGAGTGGAGTTACACCTGGTCAGGACAGCTAACTGGCCTACCTGTTCTCCTAAAACTTTACCTGTAACATCACAGTTGTATATCAACAGACAAGTTACACCTGGTCAGTACATCACAGTTCTATATAAACAGACAAGTTACACCTGGTCAAGACAGCTAACTGGCTGTTCTCCTAAAACTTTACCTGTAACATCACAGTTGTATATAAACCTACCTGTTCTCCTAAAACTTTACCTGTAACATCACAGTTGTATATAAACAGACAAGTTACACCTGGTCAAGACAGCTAACTGGCCTACCTGTTCTCCTAAAACTTTACCTGTAACATCACAGTTGTATATAAACAGACAAGTTACACCTGGTCAAGACAGCTAACTGGCCTACCTGTTCTCCTAAAACTTTACCTGTAACATCAGTCTTCACTTAATTCACTCGCCTTGACACAAAGAATACATGGTCAGCATTTTAAAATATAAGCTGTATTTTGGCAAGTGTGAGCAAAGACAAGAGCCCCAGGGAACCTCTAGCAAGTCACATTTGTCTCTCTGTCCCGAGCCAAAATGCAGCTTATATTTTCAGACGTTGACCATGTTTTCTGTTTATCCTGCAACCTCTATTGAAATCCAGACTATCAACACCTCCAGCATTTTCTTGTTTAATCTTTGTTTTACCTGATGTTGACATTACACCAATTTTTCCAGATAACGTATACAGAAAAATTGTTCCAAACCTCAAAGGATATATACAATATAACAGCAATTTTATCATTTTTTATAATAAACTTGTTAATTACAACAAAAAAATTGCTTATTTTAACAGTTGTTCATATTTTTGCATAATATTTCAGTAAATCAGAAATACTTCAAAATTAATGCACATGATAAAAAATACAGCTGTTGTTCATCCTGCCATATATGTAAAAAATAATGTCGCATGTGTATTTCAATAAAGTAACTAATAAATATATGTATACAGTTAATTGATAAATACATGTATACTGTTAATTTATACTGTTAATTGATAAATACATGTATACAGTTAATTGATCAATACACGTATACTGTTAATTGATAAATATATGTATACTGTTAATTGATAAATACATGTATACTGTTAATTGATAAACATATGTATACTGTTAATTGATAAATACATGTATACTGTTCATTGATAAACATATGTATACAGTTAATTGATAAATACATGTATACAGTTAATTGATAAATACATGTATACTGTTAATTGATAAATACATGTATACTGTTAATTGATAAACACATGTATACTGTTAATTGATAAATACATGTATACTGTTAATTGATAAATACTTATATACTGTTAATTGATAAACATATGTATACTGTTAATTGATAAATACATGTATACTGTTAATCGATAAATACATGTATACTGTTAATTGATAAATACATGTATACTGTTAATTGATAAACATATGTATACTGTTAATTGATAAATACATGTATACTGTTCATTGATAAACATATGTATACTGTTAATTGATAAATACATGTATACTCATAATTGATAAACACATGTATACTGTTAATTGATAAATACATATATACTGTTAATTGATAAATACATGTATACTGTTAATTGATAAATACATGTATACTGTTAATTGATAAACATATGTATTCTGTTAATTGATAAATACATGTATACTCATAATTGATAAACACATATATACTGTTAATTGATAAACATATGTATACTGTTAATTGATAAATACATGTATACTGTTACTGTTAATTGATAAACACATGTATACTGTTAATTGATAAATACATGTATACTGTTAATTGATAAACACATGTATACTGTTAATTGATAAATACATGTATACTGTTAATTGATAAACACATTTATACTGTTAATTGATAAATACATGTATACTGTTAATTGATAAACATATGTAATACTGTTAATTGATAAATACTTATATACTGTTAATTGATAAACACATGTATACTGTTCATTGATAAATACATGTATACTGTTAATCGATAAATACATGTATACTGTTAATTGATAAATACATGTAAAGGGGTAATGGTATTGTAAATGAATCCATTCTTACATGGCTGACCATTTCCAACCAGAGTTTTCCTTTTTTCATTTTTTAGTGTTTCCAAACAACAAGCAGCAATTTCAGCAATCTCTGGACCAAACCGGAATGACTGATGAGAAAAGAAAAAAACAAGTTAGAATAATGTCCCTTCTACCGAACAAAATGGAAACAAACATAAAAACATATTGATATAGTAAAAGTTAAGACCATAACATTGACAAAACTAGTGTTGTGTATGTTAGCCTACAGAGTTCATTTGTAGTGATACACCTTCAGTTACCTGTATACTAACCTGTGTCAGGTAGAATATTGTGGAAGCCTGAACAGTCTGCATGGAGTTAACAGCCCCCCTAAAGGAGTAAATCTGCTGGTGTGGGTCTCCTACCAGGATCTTTGAAGTCATTTGATTGAGCAGGATGTCTGATATAGCTATTAAACAAAAACAATTGAATCAGGTACATACAAGGAATGTAGAACCAGGAACATACAAGGAACGTAGAACCAGGTACACACAAGGAACGTAGAACCAGGTACACACAAGGAACGTAGAACCAGGTACACACAAGGAACGTAGAACCAGGTACACACAAGGAACGTAGAACCAGGTACACACAAGGAACGTAGAACCAGGTACACACAAGGAACGTAGAACCAGGTACACACAAGGAATGTAGAACCAGGAATGTAGAACCAGGAACATACAAGGAATGTAGAACCAGGAACATACAAGGAATGTAGAACCAGGAACGTACAAGGTAGAACCAGGTACACGCAAGGAATGTAGAACCAGGTACACGCAAGGAATGTAGAACCAGGTACACGCAAGGAATGTAGAACCAGGTACACGCAAGGAATGTACAACCAGGTACACGCAAGGAATGTACAACCAGGTACACGCAAGGAATGTACAACCAGGTACATGCAAGGAATGTTGAACCAGGTACATACAAGGAATGTTGAACCAGGTACATACAAGGAATGTAGAACCAGGAACATACAAGGAATGTAGAACCAGGTACATACAAGGAATGTAGAACCAGGCACATACAAGGAATGTAGAACCAGGCACATACAAGGAATGTAGAACCAGGCACATACAAGGAATGTAGAACCAGGAACATACAAGGAATGTAGAACCAGGCACATACAAGGAATGTAGAACCAGGAACATACAAGGAATGTAGAACCAGGAACATACAAGGAATGTAGAACCAGGAACATACAAGGAATGTAGAACCAGGCACATACAAGGAATGTAGAACCAGGCACATACAAGGAATGTAGAACCAGGCACATACAAGGAATGTAGAACCAGGCACATACAAGGAATGTAGAACCAGGAACATACAAGGAATGTAGAACCAGGATCATACAAGGAATGTAGAACCAGGCACATACAAGGAATGTAGAACCAGGCACATACAAGGAATGTAGAACCAGGAACATACAAGGAATGTAGAACCAGGAACATACAAGGAATGTAGAACCAGGAACATACAAGGAATGTAGAACCAGGAACATACAAGGAATGTAGAACCAGGTACATACAAGGAATGTAGAACCAGGCACATACAAGGAATGTAGAACCAGGAGCATACAAGGAATGTAGAACCAGGAACATACAAGGTAGAACCAGGTACATACAAGGTAAAACCAGTCACATACAATGAATGTAGAACCAGGTACATACAAGGAATGTAGAACCAGTCACATACAAGTAAAGAAGCCAAAAATTAAAGACACTTAATTTTCACATAGCTTTAACATATATCTAAATCTGAAACATCAGATAGCATTGATTAACTTGTTACTCTCTTAGTGTTTATTGACCATTCCATTTCTTATCAAACATACATCTTAATACATACTTCTATTTTACACCAGATATAAAAAACTGAAGATATCTGAACCTCTCTAACTGATTTTTATTTTTCTTGTTTGTTTGACAACTAACTACCCGGTATTATGTTTTGGTATGTATCATTTCTGTACAGTTCTGGAGACAGCCTTGAGCTTTACCTGGAGTTAGGTCCTGAGCCTCATCTATCAAGATACAGTCATATTTAAAGTCGAGACGAGGGTGACTCAGCTGGTACAATTTCAGGTAGCCATCATGTGATATTGGTACATCTTTATCTTTGATGTCCTTCATACGGTTCCACAAGTAACATGTGTCATCAACATACATCTACAAAATGCAGGATTTCAAACTTTTAAACTTTAACCTGAGTGATCAATGACTACAGATTTAAACATAATTTACCAGTAAAACAATGAAATTTGTGGACAATCACCATAATTATTTACCTTCAAAGAATTAAAGGTTAACCAGAACAAAGTCTATGGTAAAACTTGATGTTGACCAACATGACATTGCTAATGACAAAGTGGCTTGATTGTACACAGTTTGTATGAGCATAATTACTCCCTTTTACTCAGTCAACTGAGTCAATGGGTGAACCTGAATCATACCAGCATGAAATTACCTTTTGCTAATGACAAAGTGGCTTAATTGTTCTGTTTCTGTGAGCACATTTATAGCATTTGCCAGTCAGGAAAATGTGCACAAACCAATTCAAACAAGCAGGTAAAATGCCTTAGATACTTGAATGTAACTTGTCTACTACAACTATTACCTCCCTTTATAGCCTATGCGTAAATACAATAACCTCCCTTTAGGGAATATAAAGCATGCTCCTTGCAGTGACATTGTCTATAACTACATTTTCAGCGCAGACACTCCCTCTACTGCGGGTACTATTTTGGTACTGTGTGGTGGCCATTATGCTAACTGCTACAATACTGTAATTTCTTGTGTATTGCCCACGCTGTTGATTGCCTGCGCTGACCAAAATAACTGTTTTAAGATTCTGATTATGCAGAAAGCCGCTGCATTGCATTTCCCGCAGGTTATCTGCTACTAATTATATATAAATGTCTTATGAATTTCCAATGCATTGTTTACAGTGAAGTTGTCAGTTCTCACAAGCACCTTTACCTTGACATGTAAATAGTGTTAAACATATTTCTGATTCTTATTGTGAGTTGTATTTACTTGACTTGTTCATGCACTTGGATGAGTGAGGGCTTACACATTTACACAAAAACTGGTTGAATGTCTTGTGTGACATAAGCCAAAGTGTGTTTGTGGGTGAAAAACGCTTGGCACAATGTGAAGTCAGAAATAATTCAAACAAGTTTTCGGTGAAGCTGGAGTCTGTAAGGTTAAAAATGGGAGAGATTGATGATCAAGAAAGTGATGATGACATACCCCTAGCAGAGATTGCTACGCTGGATAGCGTCTACAGTGACTCACAGCTGTCTGACTTTGATAGCTGGGAATAAGCTTGATAAACTTTTGATTGTGACAAACTTGGTTCTTTCCGGAACAATTTTTAATATTCTATGTGTAAGATAATTAAAGCAAATTATGTTACATTTAACAAATTTTGTAAAGTCTGTAGTTTTAATTGTTTTTGGTGAGAAATTTGTCAGATAGTCTGCTCCATCCGACAGCCTGCAGAGGGCACTTTTTCGTGTTTTAAATTGTATAGTCCGCAGGTAAAACACAAAATATTGTGATAGTACAAACCTCCTTTTTTTCAGGGTCTATGGGAACCCTCATGCCTGATTCATCCATCCTGAAGTTAGGGACATGGTCTTCTTTAGGAAAAGGATCTGCTGAAGATAGAAATGTATTCAATGTGTCCAGGACAAATTTGGCCCTCACAAACAAGTTATCTCCCTTCTTTTTTTTTATTGTCTGTGTGATACTGAACACAGTAGGACCACTCCCTCGTAACTTCCCTGCTTCTTTGTACCTGAATTACAAAAGTAAACACATTAAATACAACGAATTCTAAATTCAATCTATTTTTCTTCCAATATTCTAGCTGACACAGTTCTCAGACTAACCAACTTGATTGTGAGACACAGTTCTCAGACTAACCAACTTGATTGTGAGACACAGTTCTCAGACTAACCAACTTGATTGTGAGACATGGTTCTCAGACTAACCAACTTGATTGTGAGACAAGGTTCTCAGACTAACCAACTTGATTGTGAGACATGGTTCTCAGACTAACCAACTTGATTGTGAGACAAGGTTCTCAGACTAACCAACTTGATTGTGAGACACAGTTCTCAGACTAACCAACTTGATTGTGATTCTATATAAATACTGGGATAGATATATTGTGTATTACAATATCTGTTAAATATCATAGAATTACAAATGTAATATTCACAAAGCATCCATGTGACATGTGATATTCCATTGTTTTAAACATTACAAGATAGTATCATCTTTAAAAACAGCTGCTACAATTTAATATAAGACTGATAATTTTGTTGCTAACATACAATAATGAGAACATCTTTTGCCGAATAATCTTGAGACTTCTAAAGTTATCTAAAGTAATTCAGAGGATATTGCAAATTAAAGCAACAAAACTGAATTAATGATTTTACTTGTGTATTAAACATTGAAGTAACATTAAGTCAAGACTATTATCTTATTACAAGGAGAATTTTTGTTGTCATACCTAAAACCCTTTTTTGAAAATGCTAAAGCATGGCCTGTTTTACAGTCCACATTCCAAGGAAACTTGGTCTTGGCATGATCACACACACTCCTTTAAAAGGAGAAAAAAATGGAAAAGAAATTAGGGATAATTAGTATTTATAAATCTGAAACACTATCTTGATATTACAATTGAAAACATAATTGGCCTGAGTTTCATCATGTCAAATCAATGAAATGTTTTAATACAATCAATTTATAAATATTTTGGAATTATCCTCTATTTCTACCGGACAGAAACACTTCCAGTGAGGGCATGATATCTCTATCTTATCCTGGCATCATAGCCTACACGTACAGGAAGTGACATTTCAGGTTTGTGTAATTGTTAATGACATCATTTTTTGTGATGTGTCAGAGTTAGTTTGGGTCATTAACAATTGTCATCTGGGCCTCAAATGCAAATGCCTGTATCGATGGTTAAAATGTTACATGTATATTCATTTGCATATCTATTTTCAAGGGGGAAAAGGGGTAGACCATTCCCTACCTTGAGGGTAGGACAGAAAAATCTTTACCCAAGGAAGAGATTCCTGACAGTTTCACTCTCGGCAAAGCCTCTGGTTAGACAATCAAGAATCTCCTCCTCAGGTAGAGATTTTTCTGTCCTACCCTCCACCTAGGAAAACATCCAGTTGATCTTTATACTAGATTCTAAAGTAATCAGAAGCATTGTTAACTTAACCTATTTCACGACTGTGCCGATTTCAGCAAATAACAGGGTTGCAGTGAAACAAATTACAATTTGTGTTTAAATGGTCCTTTCATTCACAGTTCACACAGGTCAAAGTTCACCAAGTGCAAGCCAGTCAGTCCTAATTTGAATCCACTCCTAGATGACTGTTTCTTTTACACAACAGTTGTAGTGATAACTTGACAACTGGGAATTGAATAGCGTTATAGAAATTAGTATTTGCACCAGTATAACACTAAGAAAACTACTACACTAGAAAAATGGGTAATTTCATAAATGTTATGGTAAATATTACCACTTACTTGTTAAACACAAGTAGGAGGAACTTGGTGTTTGGCCTCAGCTGTGTGTATCTCACTAGTGTGGTTGTCTTCCCAGTACCTGTTACCAATATTTAATATTAAAGTTCATACTACAGTTAATATCACATCCCGAAAATGAGTAAATATCACATACCACAGTTAATATCACATACCAAAGATATCACATATTATATACAGGTATTATCATATGACTGGTATTTTTCTTGCAGCTGATTGGTCAAAACGGGCATGAAAAGTCTTGATCAATACCGATATTATCTATTTTCCAAAAAAATTAGAAACGATACAGTCCAGCAGACCTGTTTGGTCTAAAAATAGCACAGACAGTGCGATACATGATGTATTGCATGACTTGGTCTAAAAATAGCACAGGGAAATTACTGAAAGTTCCCATGATGAAGTGCTTCTCCTCCAATGCTTAATTTTTACAACTGAAGTGGAGTAACAATTAATTTTAACTTCAAGTAGTCTGCACTTTCTTATTTGTGAATAAGTTATTGTTATTGTTATGAATAAAACAGCTGTTACAAGTACAATTGTTCAGAGTCTTTCATAAACAAAATTAATTCAAAGTAAGCTGAACTTGAAGAAATTTTTCATATAATAAAACAATCATAGATTCTTTATTAGGTTCATACATGGATTTATCAACCCTTAAAAGTGACATTCACCAAGGCCGTATTGCTTTTGTGAGTTGATAAATCCTTGTATCAACCTAATAAAGAATCAATAATTGTATAATATCACATACAATGTTCAGATAATATCACATACAATGTTCAGATAATATCACATACAATGTTCAGATAATATCACATACAATGTTCAGATAATATTACATACAATGTTCGGATAATATCACACACAATGTTCGGATAATATCACATACAATGTTCAGATAATATCACACACAATGTTCAGATAATATCACATACAATGTTCAGATAATATCACATACAATGTTCAGATATCACACACAATGTTCAGATAATATCACACACAATGTTCAGATAATATCACATACAATGTTCAGATAATATCACATACAATGTTCAGATAATATCACATACAATGTTCAGATAATATCACATACAATGTTCAGATAATATCACATACAATGTTCAGATAATATCACATACAATGTTCAGATAATATCACACACAATGTTCAGATAATATCACAACTTGGTAATGAATTCAAGTCCCTTATCATGATAAATGTAACTTCTAAAAAGGACGAATGGAGTGTACAAACAGAAATTAGTGAGAATACCTGCGAAAGCAACGATCTTAGCTAGTTCTCCAGGTTGACAGTTATGGTTCACCACCCGCATCTGTTCGTGTGTAAGTCTCAAACTGCTCTCTGCACAGCTGTGGAAATTACATTGGTTATTAGACAATCTATAAATACAAACTAAATAGGAGTGTAAACTTAGGGGCAACAGATCAGACAATTACATAAAACATTATCATAAAACAGTGGAGAATGTAATCCTTGATGGAAACCTTAATATCAAGTCTAAAATTCTATCATATATAAACGTGCATACTTTTAAAATGTGACCAATTTAACATCTGAAATCAAATGCAATATACATAGTAATTTATTTATGAATTCGAGAAAGACATAAACAGATTAGTCAAATCACAAACAATTGATGATGCTGTATAGATATAAATGGACATGTACCCATACTTGACCATACACTGTTGACCAGATTTTCCTTGGACAGCCCCCTTCAGGTCCCCCAGACTAGCAGCAGATGCATTCTCATACAAGTAGAGAGCATAGAACAATCGGTAATGGATTCTAGAAATTGAAGAAAGATACATTGTTTTAAGAAACCAACAGAAAATAAATAACAAAACATAGTGAAATTAAAGAAACTTCATTTTAAAATGTCTTCAATAATGATAAACTTATTTTATTTATTGATACGGTAGCTTTAGCAACATTCAATTTCCATCTGTTACAAATTTAAAGTTCTAATATGATACAAATACAAAATATGAAAAAGGGAAAAATCCAGATTTTGATAAATTCCTTATTATGAGCAGTTAAAGGGAATATTCAGCACATGTTTGTAGATACTGACATGTTCCCCAAAATCATTTCAAGTGATTATCATCATTATCAGTATTCTGAGAATATTTAAGTAGAATTGATGCGGTATGATAATATGAACTTGACACACCCACTAAATGGACCTATGGACCATTTCTTTTTGAAGATGAAGAAGAAAGACGCCAGGCAGTAGAGACACTCTAACACCTCCCGTGTGGTACAATCAGACATCGGAGATGTTAGACAGCTGAGTACTTTCTGTATATCTAACACAGAATCTGATATAATCACCAAACACGTGATTATACTCCATGGATTAGCCTCCTGTAAAATAATATATAACATGTAGATTGTGTTATTGTTTACAATGCTGTTTTCACTTTATCTTTTTGTTGTTTTATACACAGTATTCCAAATCATCAATTAAAACAGTGTTTACAAAACAGGGCCACTGTGGTCAATTGGTTAATGCGTCTGACCGTCTTTATCACTAGCCCCAGTAGTGGCCATAAACCTGTCACGTCTTTACATGACCCGCACTGTTAAAAGGATGTAAAGTAATAACAAATTAAACTAAGTTTGTAAAACTTCTATATTTCTCATTTTCTTCTGATATCAATCATTCAGTGAATTGATTTTATTGAAATTTAAGTTGGGATCAAACTAATATCATTCATATCCATTGTCTCTTAATGTAGTGTGACCACCTACTAGTCATCTACTATTTGGTCATCACCCTTCAACATCAAGTGTGAAGCAGTGTTTATAGAGTCATCAAAGAAAATATGCCCTCATAATCTACCACAATACACTGTTATTACACTCTCAGACCACAATACACTGTTATTACACTCTCAGACCACAATACACTGTTATTACACTCTCTGACCACAATACACTGTTATTACACTCTAAGACCACAACACACTGTTATTACACTCTAAGACCACAATACACTGTTATTACACTCTCAGACCACAACACACTGTTATTACACTCTAAGACCACAATACACTGTTATTACACTCTAAGACCACAATACACTGTAATTACACTCTCAGACCACAATGCACTGTTATTACACTCTCAGACCACAACACACTGTTATTACACTCTAAGACCACAATACACTGTTATTACACTCTAAGACCACAATACACTGTAATTACACTCTTAGACCAATTGTTTAAGCATGCTGACAAATGGATAAAATATACTATTTATGGAGTAAAATCTTTTGGTCTTTGGATTGGTCAAGAAGTTGAACTTTGAACTTTGTGCACTCAACACGTTTGTGAAAATTAAAACGAACAATCAGGAGTTATAAATTGTTTTTGTACTAATTTGATTCTTATTTTTATCAACTTATCCCTTTAAAGATAATAGACCTGTTAATTACTTTTGTGGTTCTTAACAAATTAAGATATTTCCACACATTTCTAAAACTGTCAGTTTTGCATGTTAATTAGCAAGCCAATATCAGATTAATATAAAAATCAGGTAGGTCAGTGACAACGTTAACATAACACATAGTATACTGGTTTGTTTACATACAACTTCCTAACCTTGTTGACTACACACTGCGGTATCCTTTCCTCGAGGATTTCCCTGGCCCACTGGTACTTGGGGAGTGTCTTCAGACACTGAGTCATGTTACTGGCCGTCACTGGCTTGATGTTCCTCATGTAACTGAAACAAACACAAAATTTGCCATGAAAATTCATGGTTATTACATATTAATGCAATAGCCAGCACAAGCATAACAAAGACTTAGGACAATTACTGTGCCATCATGAATGCTAGTCTGACTAGGAATTAAGAAGGGGGCTCACTTCGCCTAAGGTGAAGGTCCGAGGTGTATGATTCCACACTCCCTTCCCTTTGCTGTTTGTGTTTCCTAGAAGCTGGGAAACGGACCATATATATGATATGGTTGTGTCTTAGAGCAAATCACTTTATTCTTATTGGTTGTGAAGATGTGCTACAGGCTTCACATATGTTCCAGCTGTACTACAGGGAGTCACTACCTAAAAATGACCGTGAGAGAGCGATACTTACACAGGTGGTAGACACAACAGCTCAGGTTATTATACCCTTGTAACATCTCTATAACTACAAATACAGGTAGTAGACACAACAGCTCAGGTTATCATAACCTTGTAACATCTCTATAACTACTTATACAGGTGGTAGACACAACAGCTCAGGTTATCATAACCTTGTAACATCTCTATAACTACAAATACAGGTGGTAGACACAACAGCTCAGGTTATCATAACCTTGTAACATCTCTATAACTACTTATACAGGTGGTAGACACAACAGCTCAGGTTATCATAACCTTGTAACATCTCTATAACTACAAATACAGGTGGTAGACACAACAGCTCAGGTTATCATAACCTTGTAACATCTCTATAACTACTTATACAGGTGGTAGACACAACAGCTCAGGTTATCATAACCTTGTAACATCTCTATAACTACTTATACAGGTGGTAGACACAACAGCTCAGGTTATCATAACCTTGTAACATCTCTATAACTACTTATACAGGTGGTAGACACAACAGCCCAGGTTATCATAACCTTGTAACATCTCTATAACTACTTATACAGGTGGTAGACACAACAGCCCAGGTTATCATAACCTTGTAACATCTCTATAACTACTTATACAGGTGGTAGACACAACAGCCCAGGTTATCATAACCTTGTAACATCTCTATAACTACTTATACAGGTGGTAGACACAACAGCCCAGGTTATCATAACCTTGTAACATCTCTATAACTACTTATACAGGTGGTAGACACAACAGCTCAGGTTATCATAACCTTGTAACATCTCTATAACTACTTATACAGGTGGTAGACACAACAGCCCAGGTTATCATAACCTTGTAACATCTCTATAACTACTTATACAGGTGGTAGACACAACAGCACAGGTTATCATAACCTTGTAACATCTCTATAACTACTTATACAGGTGGTAGACACAACAGCCCAGGTTATCATAACCTTGTAACATCTCTATAACTACTTATACAGGTGGTAGACACAACAGCTCAGGTTATCATAACCTTGTAACATCTCTATAACTACTTATACAGGTGGTAGACACAACAGCCCAGGTTATCATAACCTTGTAACATCTCTATAACTTAATTAAAAGTATGATTAGAAGAAAGCATAAACCAAGACCAGTGTTTATTTTGCTGGACCAGTATATAGATGATATGACTAAACACATTCACCTGATGATTGAGGTCAGGAACACTGAAGGAGACCTCATTTTGTTTTCAACCAGAACAGTCATCATTTCTTCTGTTGTACCCTCGATATTCTTCTTCAACTTGTGGTAACGCTTCTTCCATGGCATAAACTGTGATAGCAGAGAATATATTGCCATCGTGGAATGACAAGTCAAAGCAATGTTAACATATCATGATACATATGTATTGTGAAACATGAAATAGTAACATGTACACTACTCTAAGTGTCATATCTATCCTTTATCCATAACTTTAGACTCAGTGCAAGGCTATTTTAGGGACATTGTGGGATGCAAAACTCCCAAAATATATAGCTTACTTTATAAAACTTCCTGCCTAGTATACCTATGATTTGAAAAGTGTAGGGGTAGGGCATATTGCAGGACAAGGAGATAGTATGTGTGATGAAATTTTTATGTTGAACAAAAATGGGAGGTTTACTACCAGATAGGGGCTTATTATCAGATTTAAATATTCATCACTTCCCAACATATATAATGACATTTTCATAATATTTACAGACTGTGTAAAAAACAGCTATTCTCGTTCATATACAAGGATAATTCACCCGTTTTGGAAAATGGGGATGAGATTTTCCTTTTTGATATAGCACATTCTGAGAACTTCAATGAGATTTATCATTCAAATTAAAAATATTCACCTTTTCCGCTGAAATGATCTCATTCCATTGTTTACACACCCGGTTGCTATTTAGACACAGATCCAACATTGGCAAATGACAAAAGATATGTTCTATCACTTCTGTGGGTAATCTACTGAAATAATCTATCTTCTCTATCACATTCTTCTGCATTGTTCCACTTCCAAGAAGTCCATATTTGTCTGTTGTAGCATTGTCAAGCGCTTGTGACATACATTCATCATCTGAAGATGAAATAGAGTCAACTTCCATTCTAATGAGTTGATCAGGTTTTAGTTCCTTCCTTGAATACACCCCTTTTGTAAGTGAATTGAGTCTGTTAGAGCTAGAGGTACCAGACAAAGACTTTTTTGGTTTTAAGTTGGGATTAGCGACAAGTTTTTTCTGTCCTTCAAACAGCTTCTTGACAACAGCATTTTCTTTGAGTTCTTTCACTGAACACTTAGAGAGGGAACACATGGTGGAGGAATACCCAGACCTGCTTTGTTGTGAGGATTTCTGAGTGGAGTGAAAGTCTGGACTTTCATTGTCACTAATAAACACATTAGAGGAGCCTTTCATCTTTTTGACAGGAGTATAACCAGAGACTGTTGTACCATTGGCATCATCCTGGTGGCTTTTTTTGCTTCCTGATTTATCATCTACAGAACTTGTTAAGAAATTGGTCATCTTTGGTTGATTTGGTAGAATCTGTTGTCGGCTATTTTTGGAGGGAGGTGAATTTTTCTGACTAGTGTTGAAATAAGATGTTGTATTACTCTTATTTATTCCTTGTTTGGAATCACTACTAAAATTGCCTATGGACTCCTGATTATTGTCTGACCTGGCTTTCTGATTAAAATTTATGATGTGTTTACAATTGTCATTTGTGTTGACGGTGTCTGACACACACCCAGCAGTGACATCAACATGTATTGTACTACTGACATCATCATGGTTTGTGGAGAGATTTTTTTTTGGTAAATCTGCAAATTCTGGTAGAACACTATTTGCACAGAGATAAGCAGCACTTCCAAAACCACCAGGTTTTTCATTGTGGAATGCATCAATTAGTTTGGCTCCTAAAGATGGAGAGTCGTTTTGTGGAAATGACACTGTTGCAGAGGCTGTTCTATGATGCTGGACTACCTTTGACACTGTTGCAGAAGCTCGACTGTGAACTCCCTGTGACATCTTTCTGCGCGGAGTTCTGGGAGTGAGATTTGGTAATTTTGTCCTAGTAGAGGAATCCAAAGGACTTGACAAAGGCTGCATACCTTCTTCTGTTTTTGCATGAGCAAAACAATTTTGTACATCCATATGTATTCGTCTTTTTTTCTTCGGATTCTCTTCTTCTTTTCCATCCATCATTACATCTGATTTAGTATCAACAGATTGTGAGTCTTTCTCCATTTCATGCTGATTACCAGTCAACTCCCTGTGTAAAAACACTATAGTACTTAACATCATTACAACTTATAATAAAAATTTATCTAAAGTGTTACAAAGCCATGAACAGACCCTAACTTCTACATCTACTTACATCACACCTTCCTCTCTTTTCAAACATATTCAACATAAGCACACACACACATATATATATATATATATATATATATATAGACATACTATTAATGATTTTTGTTTCTAGAATAAATGTTTTGAATGTTGACACAATGAACTTAGAGTAGTAGGCACAGAAATAACTGGGAGTTGCCTGTTTTGACAATGTTCAACTTAGAATGCAATGCAAGTTGAGGCAATATTCTCTTGTGTTAAAGCCCTTAACCCTACTACATTTACAGTTACTTTTAATCAAAATGGATACACATTGTAGTAAATGGTGAACTAAGTCAGGGATATAGATTGTCATTTTAAGACATAATTTGAAAACAGAATTGAATATTTGTCATGGAAATATGTCAAGTGTCACATTTGCTAATTGGTCATGTTACGAAAGTTCTTTTACTTTCAATTTGTAAGTCTACAAATGTATCTCTGCCGGACTAACAATTGACACACTCATTTAGGATCGTAACTCATCTATATATCAATAAATAATGCTCGTCAATATTTATGTTTCGACCCTGATATAAAGACATTTTAATGTGTTTACGAGCGAAAAAGTAGTTACAATCACCTGTGAAAAATAAGTTGTTTCTTTCTGCCGCCATTGTGTGCTCTAACACATGAACCGGAAATTCGGTGTAAAATTCCGCATTTTCGTCTACGATATCGCGAGTGTTTATAGGAAAGAAGAAAACGATCAGTGCTATATTGTTATTTCATTGTGTTATTATATAAAGGACAGTTAGTTCTGCAATAGTCAGAAGGGTTCTACTATGCCGCGATTTGATTTTTGTCTTGGATACGGACGTTAGTCCGAGTTCCTCACTATATCAAAACACCAGATCCGAGCGATCCAACAAGGGTCGGCATTCACGAAACGTTTTATACAGTTTACAACAATCATAAACCATAAATCGATGAAAATAAATATTTTTTCTTCTAACTTGAGTGTATGTCAAAGTAATTAAATGTCGTAAGCTATTTTTTCTATTCATTTTCCTCAACAACTTTACTTACAACAGCCGCCATTATTCGGAATCTTTCTACACTTGTGTTTTTGTTATTGTTTTTTGTGTTGTCCTGTTTTGTTTTTTATAGGGAGTAATTCTAACTATCGTCCGTGAAAAAGACAAATAAAATCGCGGGTAGCCTGTGATAGTCTTAACTCTACGAACTATATCATTACATGATTGTAAGAAGTCTAGTTTTTCTATGCCATTCTTTACACTGCCTTATTTTTTGGGTATTGTCCCCTTTCTGAAACACATTTATTTTTAGAGCCTTTAAAGTATTAATGAAAGAGACCAATTCAGTGCCATCATTAGAGAATTTCAAAATGTAACCTTAATTTATAAATATTATTAGTTTGAAAACAAGACTCCGTAAGCACTATTTTATATCATATTATGAAACACATGGGGAAATTGAAGTGGTGCCCAGAATTTGTCCATGAAAAGACTGAAACACCCAAACCAAGGAATAGAGGAGATAACGGGAAGACGTACAACAGAGTTGTCTACGCGTGTATTATATAGTAAGCCATATTGGTTAAAATCATAATCACTTTTTTTCGCTTTGGCAACAAACTAGTGTGTCGTTACGTATACCTGCCAATGTCGGTATGTAAAGTGAAAAATCAGTGTCATTAGCAAAGTGCATTTATTAATTACTAAGTTAATTTCACTCACATATATAAAAACAGATAAAAATAAAGTAAATTGGCCGTGTAATTGATGTATCTCCAAGGATGTTGCGCCACAAAGTTAGGGTTGCCTGTTTGACAATTGTAAGAGTTATCTCCCTTAGACCAACTCAAAACTCATTTTTTCCAATTTGCTAAGTTCAGATCTGATAACTTTCTCTGCATTATCAAGTTACTTGATATATCGTTTTGTTATGTCAATGTTATGTTGAATAACCAAAGTATCTATCCCCTAAATTTAAACAGATAAAATCAGATGCCTCTAAAACAAGTGTAATCATGAGACATTTATGTTATATGTGTGGTGGATTATTGAAGAACTGGATCAGACACGTGATTTGCGCACATTGACTAGCTCAGCGGTGCAACTCGCAAAACTGCAAATCACTCTCGCGAGCATGTCTCGCATATCCGTTCGTTTTCCTCATTTCCAGTGGTTTTGGTGTCGGCTATCATTACAGAATATCGATAATATTCCGTTATGCCACACAGTATCATCACTTCGGTTTTGCAACCGATCAAATAAGAACAAAGTGTATCAAAGATTTAAGTGTTCATGGGTATGTATGTAGGTTTTCTATGTGTGTGTTTGTTCGAATGTACATGTGTATGATGATTCGTGCGATTTGAATGTCGTATAAAGTGCGTGTGGAGATTTGGTAAATCTCAATTAAACGCTTTGATGTCAACGTGTTATTTTGTTCACTTATCACAAACATTTTGATGACTAAGATGCAGTTAAACGGAAACTGTATATACATTAAACACTGCGCGTGCGTCAGGTGCTTGCTGGGAGAATTTCCAAATATAGTATCAGACTGTTCATATATATTTTGACGTCATTTGACTCATTCAGGCAGAAAACATTTAGTCAGAAGGGTAAGTTGAGAAATTTGAATACACATGTTTATTATTTTCAAACTTGTAAAGGTTTTGTGTAATTTCCATGCCGACAAGTTGTCTAGATTGTGGCAAAGTTAGAGATTTGACTTTTGGGTGTGAACCTCTGTGAAGGTGGAGTAGGCTTCTAGACACCACATTAATTGAGGAGTAGGGGTTGGTCAGAATCAACTGTTAGCCGATTTTATCAGGAGTTGTCCCTTGATATTTAGCAGATTTACTTCTCGCTTTTCGTAGAACTTATAAAAGCTCAGATTACTCATGCAGTTCGCCACACAGTATGTCACAAATATGATGCATTTTTACAGTAGATGGACTGACCCATATGTCAACTTCCTCCATCTCGACCTCAAATGGCATTTCCTGTTCAGAACTGTTTACACTGCTAGTTTGACAGTAATTAGAGATGTGATTTTTGCCTGTTATTCTACAGCGTGATGGGTAAATATGTCATGATACAGGATTTTGACGTTATGATAATGTGTCGGCTATCTGAAATTTGGTTTTCTCAACTGGCCCATCCAGCATGAATAAAAATGCCAGTCGGCAGTTTAAAGTTTTGTACAGTAATGGTCATCATTAGTATGAAATATAGACATACATTTCTTCTCATTAAAATTTTTTTTATATTTTACTTCTATACATATACGCCCATGTCTCAAACATTTTGAAACACACTTCACATCGAAAATATGTGATAATTAGACATATGAACACAGTTAAAAAAGCATGTGGTTTTAATAGCCTAGATTTGGGATTGGCAGTTTAATAACTTTTTGGCTATTTTATGGCTGTACTGGAATGTATAGAGGAGTGTTACCACGCAGTGAGCAAAACAGATAATTAGTCATTTTAGTAAGATAATATTGATACAAGATTCTATCTGACACTATTTAGATGGAGATATACATGCTGTTCCTTAGTCAAATAAACAGTGCATGTTTTACAGAATGAACAAATTTCAATCTAAGATTTTTTTTTAAATCACCTCCAATTAAAGAATCAGTGGTTGTTTGCCTCTATTACTTTATACTGAAGAGGGCTTTATGGATCTGAAGATTCCATTTTTCTTCTTATTTTTTCATAGTTTACAGAAATTTATAGCTTTCTCTTTTTCTTTATTTCTCTCCAACTGTGAATCCTTAGTTGGTATTTGGTATGTATGGAAATTTTCTGCTTTTTATTATATTTGTTTTCCCATTTTGAATAAGTTTTTTTTTTTCTTTTGTTAAGTATTTATAGCAATAACTCTACTACATAAACACAGTTAGTGAGATACATTATGGGTGATATATTGGTAACCAGTATGAATGTTATTCTACATAAATTATATTAGGGCACTGTCAACTTTGTTTTGTTGCATGGATTAACCACTCTATGAACAACCACACTCATTTTGAGCAATCAAGGTCTAGTCAAATACCACAACCAACACTCTCTTTCTCATGATCAGCTTCCTGAAATATACAAAACACTACGGGTAGGAAATTTTGATCCTTACACCTAAGATCTAGAGGTGTGGTTACTTAGGCCAATGCTCTGACCAACTGAGCTGTGACAGTCCCCTTAGACCAAGTGATAATAGACATGTCCTTACTGGACATTTTGTCTTACAGAGGTGACAGATGAAATGTAGAGTAGGAAGCAGATTTATCTGTAGTCACTGAAATTGGCACAAACATTTCTAAAACCAATTCAGAATTATCATCATTGCTTGATATGTTATCACAAATGATTTTACTATATAGAATGATTTGCTGTGATGTCTGATAACATCAGTTTGTGTATTGCAGATTGAGACCGGGATATATGATTGTGAAATGGTGATAATTATTGTCGGAAACATATCAATTTTGTTTACAGTAGTTAAAAAGTGTTATATATTTATTGGTCTTTCTTTGTAGCCCTTTGATACCATCTCGGACCACACAAGATGAGGGAGTACAAGCTAGTTGTACTTGGCAGCGGTGGTGTGGGCAAAAGTGCTCTGGTATGATATCAAGAATTTTACTTCACTTGTTATTGTTCCTGTTATATGTTAGATGTGCGCCAACTCTATGTTTGTCATATTTAGTAGAAATGATGTCTTTGGTAAAAAAAATTCTGGCATTATAGTGAAAGAACTATTATATATGTCCAATGTGGAAAAAAATAGTTACAAATTGTTGCCAAAATGCTTGCTCAAATGATTTCCAGAGCATTGAATGTATTAGATAGCTAGTTTGGCTGGTTGAGTTTCCTATTATATTGAACAATGCAAAGGAACATAGCTACTTGCTGAAGAATAGGTCTTAGCTCTTCACCAATTCTATCTGCTTAAGGGAAATTGTTTTAACTAATAACTGGTGTAGCGACTATTAAATCCAGTGTCTGGCTGTTGGTATCATCATGTCTGTACCAATAATATGTATGAAGTCACAATGTATATGATTAATATAATAGTAAATAACTTGTACTAAATAACAACATTGACTTTTTTCCAGACTGTTCAATTTGTACAAAATATTTTTGTGGAAAAATATGATCCAACAATTGAAGACAGTTACAGAAAAGTAAGTATTCTTTCTTTGTGGGGAAAGGCTGCCACCAAACATGGAAAGACAATAGCAAAATTGTGTAAGATTATATAAAAATGAATGGTAAATGATCACTGTAGTCTTCATTACATTGTTCAGTTACATTGATTTGAATGTTCTTAATTAGAATATTAAATATTACTGGAAGCTGGTCCATTAGATATGTATTAGCAAATTTTCAGGAAAATCAGTAATTGCAGTGTCTGATATTAATTGAATTTATATATACCTCACCCATTCAGTATATTCAATAATGTTTCGTATAAAGCAAGTTCTCCCAAGAATGATGTGTTCTCATCACTTACATTTATAACAGTTGTTGTACCTTCACAAATGTGATATTAATATATATACATATGCTGAAAAGATCGTGAAATCAGTGTTGGTAATAGTAGGCTTGAATTTTAATGAGAACACTAATAATTTGATTTGAATGAAAATTTGGAAATTTCCTACGGTACATGTGAAATGTTTAGTGATGTACATTCATTGTTATTTTCCTTATTAACAGCAAGTAGAAGTTGATGGACAGCAATGTATGCTTGAAATCCTTGATACAGCTGGAACTGTAAGTATAAAATCTACATTTTTAATGTTTAAAATTCAACAAATATAAAAAAAAATTCACTTCCTTCCTTATTGGTGCAAATTTTGAATTATTCGAAGTCTAGATAGGATAAAGCAGGTTTAATATTTTGTTGCTATTTACACAGAAAATATTGATTTGTTTATATGGATTGCCGAATAATTTTAAATTTCTCTCACATGGGCCTGTCACAGTGAAGGACAGTGTACAAGTATTGTTCTCATAGGTTTTAGTTTTAATTGACTTAAACATTAATAGTTGATTCAGTATAGCTGACCGGTTGGATTCATTGACATATGTACCGAATTCAATACTGTCATTTAAATAAAAAAAAATTAGATTATGTTATTTCAGTTTAAATATATTGTTTTATTTCTAGGAACAATTCACGGCTATGAGAGATTTGTATATGAAGAATGGACAAGGTTTTCTTCTGGTGTATTCCATCACAGCACAGTCAACATTTAATGACTTAGCAGATCTGAGAGAACAAATCCTTCGGGTCAAAGACACAGACGATGTAGGAACTGTTGTTATGTAGAATTGTAGTGTGATATAATGATTAATATTTCTTATTTTTTCCTTTCACAAAATCAAATAAGAAATGATTAAGGTGAATTCATGTCTAGAATATGATGTGATACAAGGTTGTTTTTGCTCAATTATTTCATTTGTAAGACTCTTAAAAAGAGTCTCAGAATAACAGGTCAGATATTACTTTCAGAGAAACAAATTCCTAAAAAAAATATTGTCTGCATAAATTAATTGTTATATGGTTTGAAAGTTTAAACAAATGACGATATTTAGATTAAGGGAAAACTTCTAAAGCTCACTGCAGTTACTGTAAAGTTTCTGTAGTAATTAGTGTTGTTTGATATATTGATAGCTTGTTGAATAAATGATTTACTTTAAAAGAGTTCACTGGTTTATGAATAGACAAAAGTACCTACATGCCTGTCACCACTTTTTTCTTTACAGGTGCCTATTATTATTGTGGGGAACAAATGTGATTTGGAAGACGAGCGAGTCGTGGGAAAAGATCAGGGTATAAACTTGGCAAGAAACTGGTCTTCAGAGTTTCTAGAAACATCAGCTAAGGCAAAAGTGAATGTGAACGAGGTAAATCTATTTTGTGACACATTACCTTTAACTAACAGTCGACCTATTATTAATATATTGCTTCACTTTTACGTACTTGTAAGCTTTGTACTTATTTTGCAAAAAGAAATTGTCTTTCTGTGTAGTTTCCAAAGATATTTTGTCATCCAGTTATATTTTAGTTGCCTTGCAGTATGTTCTTACTTTCTTATTTTCTGAGAAATCTTGTCGTCTGACTTTCATTATAGAAGTTAACTTCAAAAGTGGTGCAAAGATTCTAACAGGTCAATACAATTAGATTTTCTATTGTTGGAAATCAATTTTTTGTCATTTGTTGTAGAAATATTGGGAAATACATGATCAGAATAAGCAATGGAGAATTTTACTCCTAATAATGTCTGAAAGCAATTTTTGTGATAATTTACAATTTCTGTTTGTAATATATATGGACTCGGATAACTATAATGCCTGTTTTATGCTGGAAAATTATTACTAATTTGTACAAATGGCGAGTAATACTGGGTATTTGGAACTGACATGATTACTAATTGGCTGAGATCACTTGAAAATAATTCTTTACATGAAATTTCTTTAGAAGATTTTTTTTTCAACTAAAACCAAGTTTCATAGATAGGACAATGTATTATATCAGGTATTTACCCTAGAAATTACAGTTGTCTAGTATTTTAGAACCTTCCATTTGTATCGCTCTTAACCTTCCGATGTTTTCCTTTGAAACTTTAATGTAAATGTCTGATACTAAATAGATTTGATTCTACTGCATAATGTTACTAGAAGATGAATGTCTATCGTAAATGTCTGTACGATAATTAACATAGACTACCTTAAGTTTGTCTCCTAGCTTGTTGACTTGTGTATAATGATACAGGATTCTCCCCAGAATGATTTCTCATATTGACCCAGCAAGTTATTACAATGAATGACACTTTTCCTGGAATGGTTTGAAATAGTGTACCTTTTTATATGATGCAAGTCGATTCCATTGTTATTTTATTTATCCGCAAAAAAATTGTTTCTCTCTTGGGAGTAGAAGTACCACAATATCAATGATGTCATCTATAGTGGGGTGTAGACGTAGAAGTACAACATACCACAATATCAGTGATGTCATCAATTGTGGGGAGTAGAAGTACAATATACTACAATATCAGTGATGTCATCTATAGTGTGGAGTAGAAGTATAACATACCACAATATCAGTGATGTCATCAATAGTGGGGAGTAGAAGTACAACATATGACAATATCAGTGATGTCATCTATAGTGGGGAGTAGAAGTACAACATACCACAATATCAGTGATGTCATCAATAGTGGGGAGTAGAAGTACAACATACCACAATGTCAGTGATGTCATCAATTGTGGGGAGTAGAAGTACAACATACCACAATATCAGTGATGTCATCAATAGTGGGGAGTAGAAGTACAACATACCACAATATCAGTGATGTCATCAATAGTGGGGAGTAGAAGTACAACATACCACAATATCAGTGATGTCATCAATTGTGGGGAGTAGAAGTACAACATACCACAATATCAGTGATGTCATCAATAGTGGGGTGTAGACAGAAGTACACAAACCACAATGTCAGTGATGTCATCAATAGTGTGATGTAGACAGAAGTACAACCTACCACAATATCAGTGATGTCATCTATAGTGGGGAGTAGAAGTACAACATACCACAATATCAGTGATGTCATCAATAGTGGGGAGTAGAAGTACAACATACCACAATATCAGTGATGTCATCAATTGTGGGGAGTTGAAGTACAACATACCACAATATCAGTGATGTCATCAATAGTGGGGAGTAGAAGTACAACATACCACAATATCAGTGATGTCATCTATAGTTAGGAGTAGAAGTACAACATACTACAATATCAGTGATGTCATCAATAGTGGGGAGTAGAAGTACAACATACCACAATATCAGTGATGTCATCAATAGTGGGGAGTAGAAGTACAACATACCACAATGTCAGTGATGTCATCTATAGTTGGGAGTAGACTAAAAGTTACAACATACCACAATATCAGTGATGTCATCAATAGTGGGGAGTAGAAGTACAACATACCACAATATCAGTGATGTCATCTATAGTGGGGAGTAGAAGTACAACATACCACAATATCAGTGATGTCATCAATAGTGGGGAGTAGACTAAAAGTTACAACATACCACAATATCAGTGATGTCATCAATAGTGGGGAGTAGAAGTACAACATACCACAATGTCAGTGATGTCATCTATAGTGGGGAGTAGACTAAAAGTTACAACATACTGCACTGTCATCAAAAGTTTGGATTCTGCTTAGAAGTACAATACCCATCTCAAAAAGGATGATCTTGACTGATGTGTAGAAGTGTAAACCTTTTTAGGCAAGAGAATGTATCTTTGAAATCCCAAAGACTTCAATGCCCCATGGCAGTAGCAAGAAGCTTGCAGTTAAATAACTGTGTAGTTGGTCCTTGTCATAAAATTCTGTCCAGTTGATTGACTGATTCTGGAGGCAACTCTCAGATAATAGTCCCGACTCCATGCTGTTAATTGTAAATCAAAACAAGGATCTTTTGAAAGTTCGGACTTGTGTTTCAAAGATGCAAAATGTTAAAATCAGATCTACACTTATAATCCCTATCAGTATTGCATGATACATATATATTTGTAGATATAGTGTTATTTAAGTGCATGACTGGGACTTGGGAAACCTCCATGTTATTAACACAATAATATCAGGTTATCATACTCGTGTGCTGCTATATCCCCTGCCTTAACCACTTTGTCTTGTTTGTACTGCTTTACTTGTTTGTGTAAGACAAATTCATTTTAGACAGAATTTTGTTTGACGTTTTGTTTTGTGCCAGCACAGCTGAAGAAACTCGTCTTCCAATTTTACTTTCACTTTCTCACTAGAAGGCTATTATTGTAAATTTCAGTCTTGTAATTTGCTTCTATCTTTAAATTTAACTAGTTTCACTTTCATTTTCTGTTTATATTTAGGCATTAAATGATGATAAACATTTCACTGTCCTTTTTTTTCAACATATCATAACCTTCCATTCTTGGGTATGGTTTCAATATGGAATTATTTATTTTCAACATATCTCATCTTCTAAGCTTATCAAATCTTTTATATCTAATACCGAAAAAATGATATAAAACAGGGTTTTAAGTGAAGCTATCAAGTAATGTAATGATAGTAATTTTTATTACTGATATAAAACCTGTTTGATTTGCTTTTTATCTGTCATTTCTAGGAGATAAACATAACATTATCACAACTAAATGCTTTTAATAACTTTAATAACAAAAGTCTTTCTCACTTTATCCAGTAGTCAAACATCACACACAAGCTAAACTCATGAACCACAGGCACCTGTCGACACAGCTTATTTATATGTGTACACTGCATGGGGAAAAATACATATCATACAACATTACGAAAAATAGATCCGCTCAGTCTGATAAATGATATACTGGCAGTAAGCTTGGAATGTCCAGTTTCAGGTTCTAAGTTTAAAAAACAAGTTGAAATCGCGGGAAAAGTGTCACACACAGTAAGTACTGCTCTGGGGAGAATCCTGGCCATGTCAAATAAGGTGTACAAAATAGTTCAAAAAGTCCGTTTCTCTTTTTATTTTCAGATATTTTATAATTTAGTCAGGACGATAAACAAAAAGAATCCAGAAATAAAAGGCAAAAATAAAACCGGGAAGAAAAATGGGTGCTGCATTCTGTAGAAGATCGTCATTTAATCGCATGCATATTACATGGTGTAAGTATGGCACTTTCAGTATAAGGGGAGGCCTTCATCCTAATTGCTTTTCATTTTCAGGTGTTTTATAGTTTAGTAAGGACAATAAACAAAAAGAACCCAGGAAATGTAAGTGGTCCATCTGGAGGTGGCAAGAAGGGTTGCTGTGTACTACTGTAGGAGTGTCATCAATATGTATGTAGACTTGTGTGAGTATACAGGTAAAACAGCAACATCTATAACAATAATTGACATTACCACAGAAGTACTAAATACTGAATATAATCGTGAACTTGTCTAAGTATACAGGTAGATTGGGTACCCAACAATAACTATGTACTGCTCTACTCTACAACAGTAGACTGATCTTAAGTTATCACCTTTGATTTGGTTAAATCCAGATTTGTACTGTCCCTACAGCAAGCATTGTTTCAGATGCATTAGTACCGAAGATTTACCTCCCTTAGTCTGTTTACTATCTGGTTTTGCTGAATTTGCTATTCTGTCTTTGCAGGTATAGAAAAATATCCATAGGAGATGTTGACCACTCGTCATGGTGCCGAGAATAAATCTTAAATTCATCGACTCAAATATGTGACAAGAAATATTTTCTTGCTTCCAGGTATAATTTCTGAATGTCACCTAGCTGTGTAAATTTACGGGGCCATACTGGACTAATGAGTTATAACTTACACGGATACATGTCCTGAGTACCAACGTCAGTGAATGGAGACCATGTCACTTGCAACTTTAATATATAACATGATATACATTAAAATCTGTAATAAGGTTATCTGGCTTGCTTGAAAACAGTTCTGAGGAACTTTGCAGGAAGCCAGTACATTGGTAAAGATTTTGTGTTTGATGACTGAAGATTACATGTCTGATGACCCATTACTAGGTGTGGATTGGGGATGTGACTTGATTGCAGTGAATTGAGAGCAGACTTGGTGCACAGAAAGTTTCGTGGATCTGTAATTTTTGCTTTATATATTTTTATAGGCATGGTAAACATTTAGCTGATTGTTATAATCATTTTACACAGTATGCATAACACATGTGAAATTTATGCAAATCAGAAAGTGAACCATATGTGATGGTCACTTGGTTTGTACAGCAGTGTGTTTGTATAATCAGCTTTTATCTAAATATTCATATGCAATGAGTTAAACTGGAAAGGCCAGATATATTTCCTGTGTACAAAACTGAAAAGATTGCTGGAATGTAATTTGATCAAATTAAGCAGATAGATGAATTAAACAAGAACTACTTGTAATATTCAGTTTTGCTTGCATGAAAAAACTGGATTCACAGAAATGCTTCAAGACCAACATTAATTTGTGTACATTATAAAGCAGTTTTTGATGTTTCTTGAAGTCACAAAGTGGTAACAGCATTCCAGCAAGACCTTCTTAATAAGGACCTTGATGATATTTCTTTCTCTCTAGTATTATTGGATGATATTTCTTTCTCTCTAGTATTATTGGAAATCAAGGAGAGGTATTATTTGGATAAACTTACATGGATATTGATATATTATAACATTCAGTGTACTTGAATGAGAGGAAGGTTGAATAATTTCAAACACATATGCGGTGCAAGTCTGATTAAAGAGAAGGGCACATTAGCTGCACTAAATCTGTAACATCGTTCAATAATGATGTCACCATACTATACTGTGAAGACTTGAGAAACATTTTTCTGACGGTGTATTTTAAATAATTTGAGGATTGAGAGATATAGAAATCATTGTAATAACAAGGTAGAAATTCTCTTAATACTGTGTGATAACAACTTACCTGGAGTGTGGGAGACCAATTTGAGTGATGTCAAGTTTACTTGCTGGTTGAGATTTGAAATATACAAGTTCTGCATTCAGTACTATTCTACCTAATGATCTATGCAGTATGCAGTGTGATTTTCTTGTAAACCATGGGCAAATATAAGTTATGTCTGATGTGATGCCAGATTTCAAATATATTTATATAATGCCGGAATGAAGAATGTTAATTAGAAAAATAAACTCTAAAAAGTTTATTAAGGAGGGAATTAATGACAACTTGTATTTCTGCCTGGCTTTACCTTTGTGCTTACAACACCTTTCTCGTTCAATTCCACTTCATTTTCAATTTTTTGTGTATTATTTGAATGTGTTAAAATTTCAAATAACTTTTTATGTTTGTAACATGGAAATGAATGTATTTTCACTGCCAGAAATGCACTGCTGCTGTCTTGTATCAGATAACATCATAACAGGCCATGGTAGTTGTAGACCTCATTCTTGGTAGATAGATAGTAGGGTAAATTGTGATAGTCTTTTGTTGGATGTAGTCGTTTATGTTACCATCACTTTGTCAGTATGTAGCGATCATTTCTATTCTGAAAGTTGTAATACATTTTCATGACACATCAAGTTCCTGAGTAAGGTCGATGATAAGAAACTGATTTAATGAAAAGCAAAAAAAAGTTAATGTAAAAGTTAATAAGATTAATTATTGGAAGAAAATTGTGCAAATTCTCAAGAAATGCTTTCCTGTAATTTGACAAAGTTTCAAGGATAAAGTGAAATATTAAGGATAAATTTCCTTCATTACCAGACTAAAGCGCCAGATCTTGCCTTTGATATACAAGATGTTGGCAAGTGATTTTGATTATGACCTGATTTTCAGGATTATCCTTTAATCCTCATAACCTATATTTTTTACAGAGATTCTTCTTGTGTGGCATTTGTAAATAAACTTCATAGATTTATTTAATCCTTTGACATATGTTTCTTTTTTTTCGTATATGTAGGTACTCTTTTTGTGATAATAGTCTTTAATCTGGCTTTTTTTCCTCTTTGTATGTTGCACTTAATCCCTTTGACAGATTCATTTTGTAGAATTGTACATTGCCACTGTTGTTTTGAATCTGGTTTAGTGCATTTCTTGTTAATATTGAAGATATATGTCAGACTGTAAGCTTTATATTCAATGAGATGTTGATTCAGTTACCCATCAGTTGGACAAAGAAAGTTACAAAGACATGTACATTTTGTTTTGAAGAGAGCTGTGGCAATAGATTTCAGAACAAGGAAAACCTTTTTTTTTTAAAAAGTAGACTTTAAAAAGTAAATTTATATGTTTTGTGTAAGATTTTCATTTAGATATATTGCTGGGTTTACACCAACTTCAGATATTATGTTTTGACACACCCTGTTGTTACCTGCTGAGCACTACGATCCTTGTATTAAACTTTGGGTGCTCTCGCAATATCATAGAACTGATTCATTAGCTGTAAGCTTCAACATACACAACTGTTCGAACTGTACCAATTTTAAATTTTTAATTAATAATAAATATGTACACAATGAGGTAGTTATGTGGTTTTTCATTTTTCCTTGAACAATAAGGATTGCTTTTACTAACAATCTGGTTCAAAGATGATAGGCAACCATCTGGTATAATATTGTGGACCATAGGCAACCATCTGATATAATATTGTGGACCTAAGGCAACCATCTGGTATAATATTGTGGACCTAAGGCAACCATCTGGTATAATATTGTGGACCATAGACAACCATCTGATATAATATTGTGGACCTAAGGCAACCATCTGGTATAATATTGTGGACCATAGGCAACCATCTGATATAATATTGTGGACCTAAGGCAACCATCTGGTATAATATTGTGGACCATAGGCAACCATCTGGTATAATATTGTGGACCTTAGAGATGAGATGTCTCCCTTCCTATATCATCACTATTTATACAAACATATACACTGTACCAGTAAAATGTATAGAATTATTTGATAGACTTCCTGCTGGTGAAATATCACAGGTTATTTGCTATAAAAATACTCAATTTCTAACTGTACGTGTTACCAAGGTTATGTACCCAGTGTTTATAAGTAGGTTTTCTGTATATCTTTTGTAAGTGGTAACTAGACTGAAATTTAGGGAAAATGAGCCACACATTCACAACCCTTGGACTGAATAATTCAATGCTTGATAGATTAGTTACTGTTATGATATTTGACACAAGAGATGACCTATAACCGTCGTGTTTGGTTCGTCGTCGTACACCGTCTGACATGCGTAAGCTTTCCATTCAAATGACTTCTCAATAGCGAAAAAGCCCTGGATGCTAATATTGGATCTATAGCACGAAAGGCTACCAAGTTTGGAAATACAAATGACCTTGACCCACTTTCAAGCTCACGTGTCAAATACATTAAAATCTTTAAACGTCTTCTCTATTACTAAAACATCCGTGGCGCTTTTATTGGGCCTGTAGCTTAGTGGGATGAAGGTCACACCTTGACCTACTCTCTAGGTCAAAGGGACCAACTGTGATGAAAGACGTAAGCAACTTCTCAATAACCAAAAGGCCGAGAGTCTTGATATTGGGCCTGTGGCATGTTTTATTTTCAACAAGCAATATGTCTAAGTAATGGCATTTGTGTAGTGCATGTATAAAGAATATGCAGAAAATGTCTTGATAAACTAAACAGTGTCTTCTATGTAAGCTTAGTGTAGTTGAGGAATTTTAGGCCTATTTGGCCTCTTTCATAAATAGATCTTCATAGTCAGATGACCCTTAAGGCCCATTACTCTTGTTTTAAGCTCACCTGGAAATGCCAAATGAGCTCATGCCGTGGGGCACCGTCAGGCGTCAACTTTTTCCTTTGAACAACTTCTTCTCAATAACCAATGAACCAAATGTTTTGATATTTGGCTGGTATGTTCTCAAGATGAAGCCCGACAAAGTTTGAGAAAAGAAATTATCTTGACTAATATTCAAGGTCACAGGGGTCAAATGTGTTAAAAGCTTTAAACAAGTTCTTTTCGGGAACTTATAGGTCAATAGGCATGTTATATGGCTGATATGTTCCTAGGATGAAAAACCAAATAAATTTTGAAAAAGAAATTACCTTGACCTATATTTAAGGTCACAGGGGTCAAATTTGTCGAAACATTTAAACAACTTCTACTCATGAGCTAATAGTCCTAGAGGCATGATATTTGGCTGGTATGTTCGTAGGATGAATCACTTCAAAGTTTGGGAAAATAAATGGTCTTAACTTTTGTTCTCTATTACAAGTATTGATCTAAGCCCCTAAAACAACATAGCGATTTAAACGATTTAAAGAGACGAGATAACTTTGGCTTCAGGGAGACGGTAGTAGTTAGGAAGTATTTGTTCACGGTAATTCTTTTATCTAAATTATATGAATGGATATATTTCACCGACAACATCAAACAGTAGTACATATTCTGTTTTCGCACTATTATGAAATATCAAAACTGACGTAAGTTTTGTTGTTCATATCAATCGTTTTCAGTAAACACCTTGGTATATCTCCGATATTAGAAGATTCGCAAAACATTTACAGCCATATTTAAACAACAATAAAAAAAAATATATAACAAGGTGAAGTTTTGTCTTCAATATTGTAAATGTACTTAATATGGCACAATCAAAGTTTGGCATATTTCGATTTTTCTGTCAAGTTAGCACAAAGAATAATACACACACTATAATAACTACTTTCTTGGCAGTATAAAGAAATTTCGCTATTTCACTGTAGCATAATACTGTAATACTTTCAGTGCGAAAAGTCATATCACCGACGAAATATGTAGGTTTATAGCATATTTTGATATAGATGATGAAATGTATGATACGTCAGCTGTTTAATGTTGGACAAGATACCAGAGTGCGGGTTAGATAACGGGTCTTCTACTCATCAGCAAGGTTTGTACACATACAGGACATGTTGTAACATGTTAGAGACACTATATATAAACCCCTGATATGACTCGGTGTTGATCAGAGATACAGGACTATAGAACATGGATGACATTAACATTTGTGTGGAATACAGCAAGCCCGGAACCACGAGCGATGTATGCACCGCTTGTGGGGCTACAATACAAGGAAAGGGCTGTTTAAAGTTAGGGTGTTACACTGAGGAGAATAAAGAGGAAAAACAATGGTACCACTTCAAGTGTTTCTGGAAAGAATGCAAGTACCCGGATGTTTTAAAGCAAGAGGATCCGAACTCTCCTTCATTTGAAGGATATGTAGACCTGAAATCAGGTGACAAGCAGAAAATCATATCCGCGTTAAAAAAGTTTCAAAATGAACATTTATCCAATGTGGCAAGAACGGCGCATGCGTTAAAAAGTAGTATACCAAACAAAAGAAAAGCTGCAAGCTCTACCTCAACTTGTAGACTCGAGAACAAGAAGACAGCGGATTATACGAACCGATCAAAGGGCCATTGTAGACTTGAGACCAAGAAGACAGCGGAGAAAACGAACCAATCAAAAGGACCATGTGGTAAACACATGTTCCGTATCCACGAGGACTCAATGAAATACATACAAATCAAACATAAGAAAAGAGGTGTATTTGTAATACTTAACGAGTTTTATTTGGATGATTCGGACAATACTTGGATGCCTACATCACCCGGTGTCCGTTTGTCTATCAAGGAGTGGGAAGACCTTTACAAGGGTCGACACATCATAGACGATGCTATCAAAACTGCAAATAAAGACGAAGACGAGCCACGGTCGAAGAAAAGGAAAGCAATGACTGATTTACCTACGTCTGGTGATTTGGGTACGTATTTACAGGTGCAAGCGGCAGAGTCTGGTTAGTTTGAAAATCAAAATTTGTCTAGCATTGCTCGTCACCCTTTTACAAAAACAAACATTTTATATGTGTGTGTGTGTGTGTGAAAAAAAAACAAAGAAAAATGTCAGCTTTAACAAGCATTGATTACTTTCTTAATCGACTATATGTGTTTGGTAGATCTCGATATTCATTATCTATAGCTCAGTCGGAAGAGCATTGACCCACACGACTGATGATGAAGATCCAAGGTGTAAGATTCGATGCTCCCGCCAATGTTAGTTGGTGTTTCTGTCCGTTTAAAGACGGACCGGTCTGTGCTGTCTTGGTTGGACAAGACATTTCAGTAAGCCACGTATGTTGTTTACTGCATTGGTCACAAGCTAATACAAACAGACAAAATTATATTTTTACAGTATAACAAACCCAGTAAACAGATTGTAAACAATCATCCTCTTGAAATTGTTCAAATGTGTTTTCTTCATATTTTTTTTTTAAACACAGTTGACATACCTCTGTACTTGTCGGAAACGAGACCAGTTTGTGTGAAGACATCATTTGAAAACGACGTTAGACAAGTAGAAGTGGCCATCGGATTCCATGAACATATCACTTATGTGGACGGCAAGCCGAGCGCACCATATTACTTACCTGTAACACTGACGACAGACGAATGGGCAAATCTGATGCAGATTCGGTCGGAAGTGAATGAGGACCTTGTGGACAATTTCGATACTTACTGTGTCGATATCTGATCTTAACATGTCATTCTCAGTTTATCAATAAAAAAGAGGGACCACGATATCCTAGACTGTTAGAAAGTTGGTCTGCGTAACCTCAAGTAATGGTACGAAGTACGCTGATCGACGCTATCTACCAGTGGCGGTTTGTTTCTCTTGAAACAGAGAAACGGACCGATTTGTGCTGACTTGGTTGTGCCATGTAGCATTACACTTTAACCTAATTGGAAGGCGTGCGACGTACCTCCCATTTGTTGTTCAACTAGGTTGACACAAGGTACTACTAGAAGAATGGTGACATTGCTGGTCACAGGATAAGTCATTACAAACAACATGACATCTTTAAATAACGTAACTCTAGACATACCGATACCTGAATGTACCGCAACCATTTTTATTCATACTCTTTCTCAAAACTACCCGGAGATTGAATGCTAACTGATAGCACCATTTCTGTGTAGTTGTTTTTTTATATTTAAACTGGCAACATCAACATAAGAAGTCGTTTGTTTTCATCCGATCACAGTTATAAACACGAAAATAAATTAGAGTGCAGTTGGATATTGCGGATTGTCATCCATTCCATGTAGAAGGTATATATAAAATAGAGGATGGAAGGAAACAGACAAAAATCCAACTCCCTGACACTGACTCTGGGAAATCACCTCCTGTTACAGGAGACCTTGGCTAGATCTAATATCCATATTACCAACGATGTCAGACATTTTGTACAGCCGAGAGGAAACTTGACAGAAAAAGATCTTTGAAGATGTTTCTAAGAATCAATAATTTGAAAAGCTGTCGTGTATATCCTTCTGAAATGTACAGGGCGATTTGATGGGGTCAACTATATTATTCCAACTATCGGATGTTCTCCTTTCATGTTATTTTCTGATCCGACCTGAAAAGTGTGTTTGCCATTGTCTGACCTAATCATACAGATTTGATCATCAACAAAAATAGAAATCGATACAAAATCAATAAGAAAAACAACAAAAATCAGAACAAAATCTTTACACAGAGAATTAGAACAAAATCTTTATACAGATAATTAGAACAAAATCTTTACACAGAGAATTAGAACAAAATCTTTACACAGATAATTAGAACAAAATCTTTACACAGAGAATTAGAACAAAATCTTTACACAGATAATTAGAACAAAATCTTTACACAGAACAAAATCTTTACACAGATAATTAGAACAAAATCTTTACACAGATAATTAGAACAAAATCTTTACACAGATAATTAGAACAAAATCTTTATACAGATAATTAGAACAAAATCTTTACACAGAGAATTAGAACAAAATCCTTACACAGAGAATTAGAACAAAATCTTAACACAGATAATTAGAACAAAATCTTTACACAGAGAAATAGAACAAAATCTTTACACAGAGAAATAGAACAAAATCTTTACACAGAGAATTAGAACAAAATCTTTACACAGATAATTAGAACAAAATCTTTACACAGAGAATTAGAACAAAATCTTAACACAGATAATTAGAACAAAATCTTTACACAGAGAAATAGAACAAAATCTTTACACAGATAATTAGAACAAAATCTTACACAGATAATTAGAACAAAATCCTTACACAGATAATTAGAACAAAATCCTTACACAGAGAATTAGAACAAAATCTTAACACAGATAATTAGAACAAAATCTTTACACAGAGAAATAGAACAAAATCTTTACACAGAGAATTAGAACAAAATCTTTACACAGATAATTAGAACAAAATCTTACACAGATAATTAGAACAAAATCCTTACACAGATAATTAGAACAAAATCTTTACACAGATAATTAGAACAAAATCTTTATACAGATAATTAGAACAAAATCCTTACACAGATAATTAGAACAAAATCTTTACACAGAACAAAATCTTTACACAGATAATTAGAACAAAATCTTTACACAGAGAATTAGAACAAAATCCTTACACAGATAATTAGAACAAAATCTTTACACAGATAATTAGAACAAAATCTTTACACAGATAATTAGAACAAAATCTTTACACAGATAATTAGAACAAAATCTTTACACAGATAATTAGAACAAAATCTTTACACAGATAATTAGAACAAAATCTTTACACAGAGAATTAGAACAAAATCTTTACACAGAGAATTAGAACAAAATCTTTACACAGAGAATTAGAACAAAATCCTTACACAGATAATTAGAACAAAATCTTTACACAGATAATTAGAACAAAATCTTTACACAGATAATTAGAACAAAATCTTTACACAGATAATTAGAACAAAATCTTTACACAGAGAATTAGAACAAAATCTTTACACAGAGAATTAGAACAAAATCCTTACACAGATAATTAGAACAAAATCTTTACACAGATAATTAGAACAAAATCTTTATACAGATAATTAGAACAAAATCTTTACACAGAGAATTAGAACAAAATCCTTACACAGATAATTAGAACAAAATCTTTACACAGATAATTAGAACAAAATCTTTACACAGAGAATTAGAACAAAATCTTTATACAGATAATTAGAACAAAATCTTTACACAGAGAATTAGAACAAAATCTTTACACAGAGAATTAGAACAAAATCTTTACACAGATAATTAGAACAAAATCTTTACACAGATAATTAGAACAAAATCTTTACACAGAGAATTAGAACAAAATCTTTACACAGAGAATTAGAACAAAATCTTTACACAGAGAATTAGAACAAAATCTTTACACAGAGAATTAGAACAAAATCCTTACACAGATAATTAGAACAAAATCTTTACACAGATAATTAGAACAAAATCTTTATACAGATAATTAGAACAAAATCTTTACACAGAAAATTAGAACAAAATCCTTACACAGATAATTAGAACAAAATCTTACATAGAGAATTAGAACAAAATCTTTACACAGAGAATTAGAACAAAATCTTTACACAGAGAATTAGAACAAAATCTTTACACAGAGAATTAGAACAAAATCTTTACACAGATAATTAGAACAAAATCTTTACACAGATAATTAGAACAAAATCTTTACACAGATAATTAGAACAAAATCTTTACACAGATAATTAGAACAAAATCTTTACACAGATAATTAGAACAAAATCTTTACACAGATAATTAGAACAAAATCTTTACACAGATAATTAGAACAAAATCTTTACACAGAGAACAAAATCTTTACACAGAAATTAGAACAAAATCTTTACACAGAGAATTAGAACAAAATCTTTACACAGAGAATTAGAACAAAATCCTTACACAGATAATTAGAACAAAATCTTTATACAGATAATTAGAACAAAATCTTTACACAGAACAAAATCTTTACACAGATAATTAGAACAAAATCTTTACACAGAACAAAATCCTTACACAGATAATTAGAACAAAATCCTTACACAGATAATTAGAACAAAATCTTAACACAGAGAAATAGAACAAAATCTTTACACAGATAATTAGAACAAAATCTTTACACAGAGAATTAGAACAAAATCTTTACACAGATAATTAGAACAAAATCTTTACACAGATAATTAGAACAAAATCTTTACACAGATAATTAGAACAAAATCTTTATACAGATAATTAGAACAAAATCTTTACACAGATAATTAGAACAAAATCTTAACACAGATAATTAGAACAAAATCTTTACACAGATAATTAGAACAAAATCTTTATACAGATAATTAGAACAAAATCTTTACACAGAGAATTAGAACAAAATCCTTACACAGAGAATTAGAACAAAATCTTTACACAGAACAAAATCTTTACACAGAGAATTAGAACAAAATCTTTATACAGATAATTAGAACAAAATCTTTACACAGATAATTAGAACAAAATCTTTACACAGAACAAAATCTTACACAGATAATTAGAACAAAATCTTAACACAGATAATTAGAACAAAATCTTTATACAGATAATTAGAACAAAATCTTTACACAGATAATTAGAACAAAATCTTTATACAGATAATTAGAACAAAATCTTTACACAGATAATTAGAACAAAATCTTTACACAGATAATTAGAACAAAATCTTTACACAGATAATTAGAACAAAATCTTTACACAGATAATTAGAACAAAATCTTTACACAGATAATTAGAACAAAATCTTTACACAGAGAATTAGAACAAAATCCTTACACAGATAATTAGAACAAAATCTTTACACAGAGAATTAGAACAAAATCTTTACACAGATAATTAGAACAAAATCTTTACACAGAGAATTAGAACAAAATCCTTACACAGATAATTAGAACAAAATCTTTACACAGATAATTAGAACAAAATCTTTACACAGATAATTAGAACAAAATCTTTACACAGATAATTAGAACAAAATCTTTACACAGATAATTAGAACAAAATCTTTATACAGATAATTAGAACAAAATCCTTACACAGATAATTAGAACAAAATCTTTACACAGATAATTAGAACAAAATCTTTACACAGATAATTAGAACAAAATCTTTACATAGATAATTAGAACAAAATCTTTACACAGATAATTAGAACAAAATCTTTACACAGAGAATTAGAACAAAATTCTTACACAGATAATTAGAACAAAATTCTTACATAGAGAATTAGAACAAAATCTTTACACAGAACAAAATCTTTACACAGATAATTAGAACAAAATCTTTACACAGATAATTAGAACAAAACACAAGTAAGCTTTTAATATCGTAGCTATAGAGAAGACTTTTACTGTCTGTGTTGACGGAGAAAATTCAAAGTTCTTCTATTCATTTCCCCCTGATAATACATGATGTTAAAGGCATTTACAGCTTTGTAAGTAATAGAAAAAATGGTATCATCAACATCATCATCTTCAATACAGTTTGATACCAGAACATTTCATACATTAGTAGAATATATTATAATATTACATTGTACATAATTCATAACATCAAGAAAACGAAGGCATGTTTTATCTCCTCCAAAAAACAAGATGTCCAAACAGTAA